CATCAATGCTTGAGTGGGCCCAGTAACATTGTAAAACTTGTTACTGTGTTTGGCATGTCAAATACATCACGAGTAGTTTTCCAGTAGTTTGCTGTGCGGGTGAGATACTCTCGGTAGCTTGCTGGACTCTCCGAGATGGGTGGAGGAATCGAACTCAGGTCGACCATGTTGGTTGCGTGCAAGGCAAACGCCCTACCCACTCTGCTATGGCTCCATATAAAGTATACTGAGGGAAATATTGGCAGAGTTGTTCAAGACCTCGATCTCAAAAGACTTTCAATGATACAATGGCATTGGCAATGGCTACAGAATCAAAACTGAACAAATGGGGGCTACATCAAAATAAAAAGTTTCTATATGGAAAAAGAAATAATGAGCTAAAACTAAAAGACAGCTAACTGAGAAAAAGAAAATATTTGCACTCAATACGTCAGATAAAGGGTTGAGATACAAGATATATCAAGTACTCACATAACATAATCAACAACAAAAAATGTAAAAACTCCATCAAAAATGGGAAAGGAAACGAACAGATATTTCTCTGAGAAAGACCAACAAAAGACCAACAGGTGCATGGAATAATGCTCATCATCACTTATTATTAGGAAAATCCAAGTCAAAGCAACATGAGATATAATTTTAAACCGGTGAGAATGGCACACATTAAAAATTACTGGAAACAATCTGTGTTGGTAAGGATATGGAGAAAAAGTAACTTACATCCCACTGCTGGTGGGGACATTGTCTGGTCCAATTTCTACAGAGAACAGTATGGAGGGTACTTAGTAAACTCAGAATTGAGCTCCCATATGACAATGGAATTCCAGTTTTGCATATCTATCTCTAAGACAGAAAAGCATTCATTCAAAAGGACTACCATCTCCTTCATGCGAAATTCTACTTCACAGAGTGGGGAGAAAGGGCTGCAAAGTTTAAGAAAACAACTCCCAGAACAACCACCAGCTGGGAGCTCTTTGGCATTATTGTGGCAACATGGGAAGATGCCATCGTTGACAACATTGATGAAGAATATGATCTACTGGTTCAGCACCTCCATTATTGTTCAAGGAACGCTGAGAGAGAGAGAGAGAGAGAGAGAGAGAGAGAGAGAGAGAGAGAGAGAGAGAGAGAGACACCCACGAAAAGATGCCTGTCTTCAAAAACTCTTGAGCTCATTTGTCAACGTGGCTTGGCGCAAGCCTCAGGCAACCACAAGTGAATGTCCGAGCTCACAAATCAGTGCAGAGAAGTGATAAAGAAAGACCTCAAAGAGAGAAGAGCAGAAGTGCTGGCTGATGCAGCAGAAGCTGGGAAAAAAAGCATTCTCAATGCCCGCCTTCCCTTCGCCAACTACAAGACCAAGATGACTGCCCTTTGATGTCCTGATGGATCTATCACATCTTCCAGAGGGCAACGGAGAAGATTATCCATGATTTCTACTTGGATCTCTTTGATAGCCATGTCCACCTGCCCACATACCAAATTCCACATACCAAATGTTATTCCCAACGTTCTCCTTTCTGAAATCCAACATGCCATTTTGTCGGTAAAGAAGCAAAAAGCACCGGCCCAGACACGGTCAGACCTGAACACCTGAAGAACCTGCTGTCAGTGCTCATCAATACAGTGGCTCGGCTCTTCACACACTGCCTGTCTGAATGCAAGGTTCCATCCCAATGGACAACCAGCAGGACTGTTCTACTGTACAAGAAGTGAGACATCCTTGACACTAGCAACTATTGCCGGATTTACCTGCTTGTCATCTACAAGTGGTTCACTCCGGTCATCCTGAATAGGATTGGCAGAACCATGCGAGCAAGCCGGGTTCTGAAAAAGATTCAGCACAATTGACCATATCCACACAATAACCAAGCTCATTGAGGTTTCTCCGGAGTTCAAGATGCCACTCCCTCTAACGTTCATTGATTTAAAAAAGGCCTTTGATTCTGTTGAGATGGAAGCGGTCATCGAAGCCCTAGCCAAACAGGGCATTCGAACTCAATACATCTGGATCCTTTGTGAGCTGTATTACAAATTCACTACCAGGACCTCACCATTCTACAAAGAAGTGATCATCAATGTCAAGAGAGGGGTTCGGCAGGGTGATACCATTTCACCAAAACTCTTCAGTGCCACCCTCGAGTAAGTCATGCAACAACTGGAATGGGAAGGAATGGGATGAAGATAGAAATTTGGCAAATACACCACTTCCACTTTGCTGATGACATCGTTCTAATAGCACCAAACATTAGCCAAGCGACACAAATGCTGGCTAACTTCAACCGTGTGCGTGGAAAGGTTGGACTACAGTTGAATCTCATGAAGATAATGCTTATGAGAAACGGACTTGTTCCAGACGTTCCATTCACTCTCAACGGAACAAACATCTCCAAATGCAACAGTTATGTGTACCTACGTTGAGAACTGAACATGACAAATGATCTGCCACCTGAGTTGCATAGGAGGAAGAGAACGGCTTGGAACGCCTTCAAGGGCGTCGAAGAAATAGCTAAGAGGATGAAGAACCTCTGGCTCTGGGCACATCTCTTCGATTCCACCATTCTTCCTGCATTATCATATGCCTCAGAGACCTGGGCCCTACGAAAACAGGATGAGAAGGCTATTTGGGTCTCCCAAAGAGGAATCGAAAGAGCCATGCTTGGAGTATCACGCTTCACTCAAGTGAGAGAAGGAATCCAGATTTCCGATCTCCGTCAACAATTGAGAATCCGGGGCATTGTCTCGTTTGCCAAGGTGTTGAAAATCAGATTGGCTGGATATGTAATGAGATTTGGAGATGACCGCTGGACTAGAGCCATTATTGACTGGATTCCACGGGATGTCAAAAGATCACATGGCCGCTCGCCTATGAGATAGTCAGACTTCTTCGTCAAGACCCTGAACTATCAGTTTGAGGCTCGTTGTGTTCCTGGAGCGATGAGACACCATTGGGCTACACTGGCACATGACAGGGACAAATGGTGCCCACTTGAACAAATCGATGAGTAACGGGATGCCAAGTGATCAAGTGATCAATTAGTCCCATTTGTTTATCTTTGCTTCTACTTGCGTGGTCGGTGGTGTTTCATCTTTAAAGATGTCTTTAGGTTCAGTGTTGTGGAGAGTTCTGCCTATGTTTTCCTCCACTTACTTTATGGATTCAGGTATGATATTGAGTCTTCAATTCATTTTTTTTATCTGACTTTTTTGACAGGTAAGTTAACTAAACTCTTTTTCCTTCAATATCCTGATTTGAAAAATGAACATCATAATATTACTACTCTCATTGAATCAATCATGAGAAAGAAGTTGGGAGGTGTTATGTTCCCTAACTTTAAAGCGTACTAGAAAACTATAGTAATCAAAACAGCATGCTACTGGAATATAGACACTCAGAAGAGTGCAATAAAATTAAAAGTACAAAAGTAAATACTCATATATATGGGCAGCTAACTTATGACAATGGACCATAAAATGGAGAAAGGAAAACAAAGGAAAATTTCCAAAAAATGTATAGGGAAAATTGCTTAATCACCAGACAAATCAGAAAAATGGGTTTCTGTCTTATTTCATGCACAAAATTCAATTGAAAATTGATAAGAAACTTAGATGGTAGAATTGAATCAATAAAATGCATCAAAGGAAATAGGAAAAGCATTCCATGACATCTGCATCAGTGGTGTCTTCAACCCTAGAGGCAAGGAAAGCAAAAGCAAAAATAAACAAATGGGTGTGGGGAGAGTATCATGGGGAAAGAGGGAGACCAGAATGAGGGGTGGTGTGAGACGGGATGGAATGGGGCACTCAATGAGATTGGAATAGGCGGGTGAGGAGAATGGAATAAACAGTGGGACGAAGATTAGAATAAACGGCAATTGATCATCAACCAGCTTGGTGGCCTGTTCCCTCCTTCACTCTGCTGGTGGTGACTGCAGGCTGGAGTGGGGAAGTGGCTCATGATCACTGAGCAACTTCGAATCAAAAACACTTTGAAAAACACTGAGTTGCTGAGCAAGAGCACCCATGCTTATTTGTGAACACACACTTGAACTTTGAGACTTACTGAGGATTTTTTCCCCCAAAACTATTAGAAATGAGAATGATACAGCCCTTTGAGATTACTATAGCCCAAGAAATTTGGTGATGGCTTTGAATAAACATTGTTGCTGATTTTGATTTCATATCATATCTATTCTAGGGGATAAGCAATTTTTGTTTGTTAGACAATTTCTTGGAGGCAAAAATATATCCATAGTAAGGAGAGTTCCTCTTAGAGGTAATATCTAAAAAGCTGCAGGAACTAATAAGGAAGTTGGTTTATGTGAAATGTATTCCTGCCTTTCAAAAACAGATGTGATGGCATGCTTGGAAGAAAAACAGCTTAGTACTCTTGCCACAGAAAACAAGTGCATGAAACTAAATATTTGAAAGTACTTGGGGTATTGTGGTGTGAGATGAAGAACAGGAATAATTAAAATAGTTTTAAAAAATGAAACCCAGTCTTTAGATCACACTAGATGTTTGACACCTGTTGGAGGAAGCATATGAGTTTGAGATGAAATTTTCAGTTATTTATATCAATATTTGGAGGTAATAGAAATAAAATATTAGCTAAGAAATGGTTTGCTTTATTTGACATTCATTAGCCTTTCAATACATAATCTGGCAAATTTTGAATCACCACATTTAAATGCCTCTGAATTTGTAAATCAGCATACAGATGAAAGAAACTTGAGCATATGGGTATGGGTAAAAGCTTTAGAAAGGCAACACAGTCAGAGCTCCTATCTTTCTTGATCTCACTCACTCCTTTTGGTAAAACCTACATAAGCTGAGGGTGATAATTTTTCATTGATATCACCTATCAAATTGACAATTTCTGTGGAAACAGACTATCCCATTCAGCGGTTTTGTGAGGAGTTTGCTGCATCATCCTCTTCAGTTATCTCTGTTCCCAGTAGAGTGAAACAACACACTCTGACAAAGAACGTGCATCCTACCTTCGTTTGCTGGGAATGACGCCCATCTCCTCACTGTCTCCATCCAGCATGACTCTTCTGGCTTGCCACCATTCATCATCAGAGGCGTTGATAACGTGAAGAATATCCCCGTATTTGAAGCTTAGTCCTTGACTGGGCAACCCACTGTCCTTGCTCTTGTCATAGTCAAACATGGCTCTGTAAAAAAAAAAATGATAGCACATTGATGAGAATGCTTGACAGCACTGATTTCCAATTCGCCATTTTGGTTAATCCCTCTTACTCTGAGAATTCACCATCTATTTAATACTAGTTCCTAGAACTAAGTTACTTGTCATATTCGCTCTGTGTTAGTCACAGATTACTATTAGCTCTTGTTTCTCTTTGGACATTTCAGGGGTTCCTACAATTATCTAACATTGCAATTTTTCTTCTCTTCCTGCAGATCATCAGATGTGACAAAGTAATAATGCAAAATGGTAAAGACAATTTAGAAGCTCATAGAGATTTTTCCCCTCTTAAAATGAAGCATTCTGTGTTATGAATAAATCCTCTCAGACTTATTAGCTTGTGAAATATTCCTATATGATTGGGAAAATGATAAATATTCACAATCTTTCTGCTTAATAAAATGTTATACCATCACTGAAACTGAACATTACAGTGTTTAATATGAAGTCATGAATAAATGCTTAGAATTAACTTCATGAAAAATACATAAACTTCAATATATAGATAGATCAAAATAAGTACATCTTTTTGCATTCTGTAAAATATTGGTATATTTATCATACTCAAAATTTTTGCTTTCTATATCATATTTCCCCATTAAAGAGCATTTGCTGAACTTCACTAATTGTAACACATTGTGGCATGCATGATAATTGGGATGAAGAAACTAGATGACTAAAAATGATAAACAGAATCTTAGTAGTTAGCGGTTGCCTTAAAGAACCAACAATTCCTCTCATCCTAAATTGTCCATGTCCTCCCTTTCAAAACCACCACATACATTCAGTGTATGATTTTTCCAGAGATACAGATTATGCACTTTCCTGTTTTAGTTCTTTTTTATTCCATTCTAAAACTTTCCTCTGATTGTAACTATTAAACATGCAAAACTAGCTAGATTTGAAGAACAATTTTTTCTAAAATCACAAAAAACCTAGTATGGTTCTTTATCTGCTTTTTTAAAGAAATAAATATTATATCTGCTGTTATAGCACCCCTAAATTGCTGAAGATAGCAACTAGGGCTTCAATATTTCAGGAAAACATGAATTACTTGCAACAGGACTCTTTCTTTCTGCTAACTCTTTCCCTAGGAAGAGAATTTCTTGGTTATAGCTCCTAGAATGGTTCCTTTCCACCTTCACGATCCCCTTCTCCCCTGTCAGTGATTTCATAAAAACCCCAGCCAGGAAAGGTATAGGTGAGAGAAGAAAGAAAATCTCCTCCTGACACTGTCATTTCTTTGGCAGGGTGATGTGTCATAAATCAATTTACACTTCTGAGCCACAAGTTTATGGCAAGATGATTCCATTAACTACTTTTACTTAGAGTTTCAGGGTGCACTGACGAAATGACACATATGAAGCACCCAGTTCATGGAAAGTGCAGACTAGCAGAGTGTGGTGCAATGGTTAAGGATATAGAATCAGAGACCCAATGCTCAGGCCATGTCTTAGTCTTACTGATTCTTACTTTTTATATAGCAAATCACCCTGATGAGTTCAGTTCTCTCTTATATACAGTAAAGATAATAGTGACGATTACAGTTCTACCATCATGGATTATGAAATGATATATAAGGCAATCATGTGAAGCACATACCACAAAGACAATCAGTAAGTGTGAACTTTGCTGTCATTATTATTTCCCCTTTGAATTAATTCTCATAAAGTAGAATTTCTGGGCTGGAGCAATAGCACAGCGGTAGGGCGTTTGCCTTGCATGCAGCCAACATGGCCGACCCGAGTTCGATTCCTCTGCCCCTCTTGGAGAGCCCGGCAAGCTGCCGAGAGTATCTCGCCCGCACAGCAGAGCCTGGCAAGCTCCCCGTGATGTATTCGATGTGCCAGACACAGTAACAACTGTCACAATGGAGACGTTACTGGGCCTGCTCGAGTAAATCAATGAACAACCGGAGGACCGTGACTGTGAAAAGTAGAATTTCTACTCTAAGGGCAATGAAAGAGTAACAGCATGTATGAAACTGCTGTTCTTCAAAAGAGTTGCTTGCAAATGTGGGACTTAAAATTTAGCTCTTGGAACAGTGCTCCCTGTTTCTTATAAGAGCAGTTCACTGCCAAAATTGTTCTCCAACTATATAATTGAAGTTGAATATCTGCTTTGCTTCTGGGAGTCTATAATTGTGGCTAGGAAGAATGAACCTCCATGACTGGTCTCCAGTAAAACCCTGGAAATGGAGTCCCTCATGAGCTTCCTTGGTAGACAATATTTAAACTTGGTGACAATGTGGAATTTGGTATGCCCTAATTGAGTCTACTAAGAAAGGAGTCCTGGAATTTTGCTCGTTATTTCCATTGAACTTTTTCAAGTTCCTTTCCATTTATAATTTTTTGCTTTGTGTCCTTTTGCTGTAATAAATTACGATCATAATGATGTTAAGTCTTTGAGTCCTATGGAGTTATTGAACCCAGGAATTTTCTTGGGGGCTCCAATGCACTCTACACATTACAAAGCGTTTCCCCCATCCGACCTCATTTTGACTCAATGTGTATGGTCACAGAGTATATACACTGATATAATGTTTATGGGCATGGTTGAGGAGACTCATTTACTAGTTACAGGACATATAAATTAGTGGCAGCAATGTCCGGCTGAAGTTTCGTCTCTTGGTCCTGAATTTAGTACTCTTCACTTTGTTTTTTTCCAACCTCACTTCTGTAAATCTGGGAGATGGTGTCAAAGATGATAATCAGGACAACAAACACTGCTTATACTCAGATTAACTAACAGACCTTCTGTACTCGGTGTTTTATATGATGATCTCATAATCTTAAAGATAGAGGTCAATTAGTTTTCTCATTTTATATATGAGAAAAGGAAATTCAGGAAAGGAAGGCACTGACCAGATCACAAGAATGCATGAGAGTGACACTGAACCTAAAATGAAATTGGTCTGACTTCAAAAATCTATATTCTTGGCCACTTCATTTCCAAGCTAATTTCCCAGCTTGTCCTCTTTGGATTATGCTCATACCAGAGCAGTTTCAGGAAGGTTTTATAGTTCTTTGGGTCACACCCACCACCTGGCCCCCTGGCGCCGTGTAATCCCATCAGCGGCCAAGACTCAGAGACTATAAAATCCAGCTCCTGGACGAGACCAGTGCAGTCTCCTGCCCCTGCGCCTGGCTGTTCCTCACCAGGGTCCCTTGGAGGGGAGAGGGTTGAGCTTTCCTCCCCGCCCCGACCAGGGCTCCGGCAGCCAAAGACCTCTAGGACCAGCCACCATCATGCCGAGACCACTCTCTGCACACATGAAGGTACTGGCAGAGGGACAGAGCCACGCGGGTTCCGGGGCCGAGATCTCCCAGCCTACTCGGATTGGAGGATGATAAGACATCTTATCAGGACATCTTTTTATGACATCTTATTACCTCATTCCTACTTTGGACAAACTTGCAGGCTATCGAATGTAGCCTGCCCACAGGGCAGAGTCTGGCAAACTCCCAGTGGCGTACCAAATATGCCAAATACCAGTAACAATGATGGGTCTCATTCTCCTAAAGAGCCTTGAATATAATCTCAGGGCTAGGATGAAAGAGACGTTACTGGGGCCTGCTCGAGGCAATCGACGAATAACAGGATGATGAAATGAAATGAAATGAAATGAAATTGGGGCTTATAACCTATTCTATTATCCAACCCTCAAGTTCTCTTAGTGCTCAGTTTTTGTCCTATCAGTTCTTATTCTAAAAGACTCTGAACTTCTGCTTTTGCTCTAGTTCTTTCTAGATATAAACTGTGGGGAATCAAGATTTAAAAGCATCAGGAAAATGACAGGTGGTAGCCAGGAAGACAGGCTCTGAAGTCAGAGGGCATGATTTTGTCTTTTTTTAAAAAAATTGAATCACTATGAGATGGAGCGATAGCACAGCGGTAGGGCGTTTGCCTTGCATGCAGCCAACATGGCCGACCCGAGTTCGATTCCTCCGCCCCTCTCGGAGAGCCCGGCAAGCTACCGAGAGTATCTCGCCCGCACCACGGCAGAGCCTGGCAAGCTCCCTGTGATGTATTCGATATGCCAAACACAGTAACAACAAAGTCTCCAATGGAGACGTTACTGGGCCCGCTCGAGCAAATCGATGATCAACGGGGGGGCCTTTACTTTACTTTTACTTTTCACTATGAGATATACAGTTTTGAAGCTGTTCATAATTGAGGTTAGTCATACAATGTTCCAACACCCATCCCTACACTGGAGTAATTTTCCAGCACCAATGGTCCCAGTTTCCCTCCCATGGTCCCCTCAAATTCCCCCACTCCATCCCAGCCCAACTCTATGGCAGGCAACTCTCTTTCTCCTCTCCCTCTCTCATTTTGGGCATTATGGTTTGCAATTAAGATACTGAAAGGTTATCATATATATTCCTTTACCAACTTTCAATACTCAGCTCTTGTCCAGAATGATCATTTCCAATATTGTTGCCATACTGGGCACTCCTCTATCATAACTACTCTCTGCCCCCACACACTTGTGGTAATTTTTTGCCTTAAAAACTGTGATTTAAAGCAAGTAACAACATATAGCTATGAAAATTTTCATAAATGTAAATCTGGTGTAGAATTGGCACAAACTACCCTGAAGAGTTGAGGAGTTAAAACATATAATAGAGACAAGTTTTGTAACACCAACTTGGCATTAGGGAGCATTCAATAGAGGTTACCTATTAGAACGTGAATAATGTACTGGGCTTTGAATCAGGGGATTTGGGTTCGAACTGTACTACATGGTGGCAGCTGACTTGTGGGCTGTGCATAAAGAAATTGAAAATGACTTTTCCTTAGGCACCTCAGTACATGGTTGGGCACCAAACTGGTCCTCACTATAGCTCTGAGGAACTGTTTCAAATGCCCCACTGCTCATTCTTTCCAGAGAACAGGTATGTAAGGGAGGCAGGTATTTATTGGGTCAGACATTCATTCTACCGTGATCCATTCTGTTCCCAGAGG